ATTTGTTTAATTCACTGGTTTTAAATGAAAAAATGACAAAAGTTTCTCAAATATAACTAATAAATTTGTGAATTCTTAGTTAGAAGAAAAAGATGTATCGAATAGTGAGTCAAGCAGACGAGTAGCTAATTAGGCGATTAAATGCGGGCAATGGAATGTTACTCGACTAAAGGGAAATCGCATTGGTGTGGCTTTAAAGGGAAATTGGTGACGAAAAGGGTGATCCTGAAGCCCAAACCCAAAACCCATTCTTTCCCCATTATTGATAAATTTTTTAATATAAATATTTTTCAATCGAATCTCATTTGATTCTTGGAGTTTTTTGAATGCTGATTATGAAAACCACTTCCATCTCTACTCCAGACTTATATTTTCATCTCAAATTAGGTCATTTCGGCCCAAAAATTTTCAGGTCGAGTTTTATATTGTTTCCTGCAGTGTTTGAGAGCTAAACCCAAAAAATAACTTCCAAATTTTTCCCAGACTCACGCTTTACCCAATTTTGACCAAATTTGGCCCAAAAATTTTTGAATTGAGTTTGATTTTGGTCCCAACAGTTTTTTGTGTGCTGATAACAAAAATCACCTCCATTTCGACTCCAGACTTATATTTTCTTTCCCAAATTAGGTCATTTTGGCCCAAAAATTTTTCAAATCAAGTTTTTTATTTTTTTCCTGCAGTTTTTGGTGCGCTGAGCTCAAAAATGATTTCCCAAAATTTTTCCCAGACTCCCGCATTACCGAATTTTGGCCAATTTTGGACCAAAATTTTGGAATGGGTTTGACGTTGATCCCAACATTTTTTGTGTGCTGATAAAAAAAATCACCCCCCTTATACCCAACCTATTTTCACTCAATATGAGCCCACAAGCTGCAGCCCGAAATGCACAAATTCGCATCGCTCAGCCACACTACGCCCCCACAAAAGGGCGCGTACCCCTAGTTTACTTGTAAATGTAAATTTAAAACCCTTATTTGACTGCCTATGAATACATGATATGTTGTTCTGTATTTCTGACCTCTTGAGGAACAGCAGTAAAATGACTAGTTGGTTGCTGTTTTACTTGCGCACTTGCTCCCTGCTTCATGCCATTCAAAAGGCTTGATTTGGACCTGGAGCATCCTGAGGTTCTTTTTGTAGATATTCGTTTTCCATTTCTTCCTCCATGGACATTGAGGGCCCCCCTTGCCATGGCCCTAGCTGTTTGGCCAAAATTTTTTTTTAGCAGCTTCCACCTGGTTGTCTTCAAACACGGCTGGGTTTTAATCTTGGGTCCATGATGGGGTTTACGCAGGTTTTGGGTCTCCTGTTCGCATTCTGCGAAAACAAATGAGATTCCTCTTCAAAATTTTAGCAAATAATGTTCCTGACAGCGATGCCTTCAAATTGTCTTTCAGAGACTTCACAATGGGGAAAACCCCTAGAGAGAGTGGGACAGTCCTCTCCCTCGAGATTTCAACACTGTGAGAAAAAGTAATGTTCCTGACAGCGATGCCTTCAAATTGTCTTTCAGAGACTTCACAATGGGGAAAAACCCTAGAGAGAGTGGGGCAGTCCTCTCCATCGAGATTTCAACCTGTGAGAAAAAATACGGAACATGTCTGGTCAATAATTTGCCTGGAACGTCCGTACTTGCCAAATACGGATCGTTCCGTACTTTTTTTCCGTACCCATTTTTCATGGGTTTTAAATGGAGCAAAAACGGAACGTTCCGTACTTTTCCCCCGTACTATATTTTTCTGTGCCATTTTTCCCTACAAAAGTACGGAATTTTTTTTCAGTGAAGAGTTGCCTCAAAAAGGGGTGCAACACGGTTTCAATATCATGAATTTTCTGCCATTCTGCAGAGGAAACTTTCCCCGACTTCTTCTCCCTTTTTTCTACCCTTGGGGAGGTCAAAACATAACGCGTCTTTCTGCTTCTCTTATCTTTGAAGCATCCAATATGCCCTGTTCCACCTTGAGTCCACACATTGAAATAGGTCATGTTCCGGAACCTTTAATCTCTTCCGTGTTTCTTTAAATCTTTGGTGGGACTTGTTGCTATGGTTATAATGCCCCACAGTTGAGAGATAAATTTTTCAACATCCTTGTCCTGCACTGCTTAGGGCATCAGCTGCATATAACTGAAGTGAGTGTATAATACAAGGAATACGAGCGCTTTTTTCTTGTCTCGAAAAGCAGCATCCATGTTTCAAGCATTATCAGTAACAACGTGAATGTCTATGGCATCACCTTCAGTAACAATGCCCCATGATTGACACATGTCCTTAACCTTGTTGTAAACTGCTTCACTGCTGTGCTCACCTGAAAAATAGCTGCACTCGAGGGTGAGGTTTTTGAAGAATCCTTCGTTAGAAACATAGTGAGCAGTTAGGGAATAGTACCCTTCATGGGCTTTGAACGGCCAGCCATCAGTAGTCAATGACACTGACTTGATGTGTTTCGTCCCCGAACTGCTTTCCCCGCCCCGGTGCCCCATGTGCTCCCGGAGGTGCCCGTTACCCGTAACTGTCCTGGGTCTGTGGTCATTTTTGACTCCCCATACCACCACCCCCCCTCATCACAACTTCGTAACACTGGGCTGACCACTGTTAACGGGACGGGCGGGACGGGCCGAGCCCCTTGGAAATAAACAAGACATACCCTTGGATTTCAAGGCGGCACTTTTACCGTGTTTGTTCAAACTACGCCGTACTTCCAGATACGGTAAGCACCGTACCTCTATGGGTACGGTAAACACTGTACTTCCAGGTACGGTAAACACCGTACTTCTAAGTACGGCAAATCCTGTTAATAAATTAACGGCGAATACCGTACATTTTTCTCACAGTGACCTAGGTACGGTATTCGGTACAATTGTTTCTTCAGTACCTAGGTACTGTAAGGTAATGAAAAAAGGACCTAGGTACTGCCCATCCCTGGTTCATGCATATTGGTCACCCTGACATGGAAATGGACATTACCACTGGATTCTCCATGCCTGTTTACCATCTTCATGTGGCACTTTTTGAATGTTCGCAAACATTTTAGATTTGGACCTTATTAAGGTTTTAATCCTTGCGCGCAGGATTTCATATCCAAATGTTGTCCCAAAAATCTGACGAAGTTGCCACATCTTTTCATGGTCAAATGAAGTAGACAAGGGAGCCAGATTTCAAAAACATGTATTCTTTCGGCATTAATCTTGAAAACTAGAATCATGACTGTTTTTATGCCGCTTTTGGACATACATTGACCTGCAACTAAAGATTGAAACACATTTTTGGAAAAAAAAACACTCTCTTGACTTCTAGCTATTTAAACACTGATCATTTTAAGCTGTCGCACAACATTCTACCTCTTATGGTCTCCGAGATACCCTGCGCGCAAGGTCAAAGAAAAAGTTACCGAGAAAACCCGGTCTAAGGTTCAAGGGCCTAACCCAGCCTCACAATGATTGTACGAATTAAAAGCTCCCTATGTCGATTTGACGGTGCTGTGGGTCGAAGGTCGTGATTGGTTGTACCAAGGCCCAAAGAGCAAAACCGAAAATCGATTTTCTTCACTTTGAGTGCGCCTAGTATAATTTGAAAAAGGTACGTTGCAACTTCCTTACCGTCGCAGTCCCCGCGACCGGAGCGATGCCGGCGTGCCGGTGCATGTGCAGCACCAGCGCGTTGAGCAGACTGCGCGCGCCGCCCTTCGGCACGTCGCCCTTCGGCACGTCGCCCTTCCACTCGGTGCCGTCCTTGGCCTCCAGCTGCACCTGCACATCCACACACTCACAAAGAGAGAGAGAGAGAGGAGCAGTTTTTCTACGCATCTTGAGTACACCCGGCTTGAATGCCCCACCACTCACCCTGTCCAGATCCGGGTCAAGGAAAATGTCGTCCAGTTCTTGACAGTGCCCCTCACGTGTGCTCAGCTCCAGGAAGTCCCGAAACTCGTGGGGATCGTAGCGAGCCATAGCCGGAGTGGCGTCGGTCTTCAGAACCTGGAAACGTCTTGCGGTTACTGGAGAAACAAGTATTTCCGCCGGAAGTTAGTCCCCCGATGTTAGGGGGGGGGGGGTAAAGTGAAATTTCGAATTTTTTTCATGCATGTTGTTTCAGCCTTATGTTCATACCAGGGGTGGGCAAGGTACTCGGTTCTGTACCTATAGGTACTGTCGGTTCTGTACCTATAGGTACTGTACCGGTAAAATTGAAAAGTTAGTACCTAGCTACTGTATTCGGTACTCGAGCAAGTCCAGTACCTAGGTACTTTCCCGGTACTCTCAAAAGTACCTCGGTACTTTTTAGGTATTTTCAGTGCTTCAATAGGTGGACTTTTGGGCACAACACGTCAAAAACAATCACACATCACAAAAGGGGACATCAATTTTTTTCGTTCCTTTTAACTTTCTTGCGTCAATGACCCTATCTTTTTTTGTTTACAACCCCGCGTCAATTCGACACACCAAATCGTCCTGCAGCAGCAGGGACCATCCCTTCACCGACCTACCTCAAGCCTATAGTGCTGCAGCCGACCCGAGATAAAATTTCTCCAGGCAACTTTGAGCAAAGGTGAGCAGGGGTCGAGCACAGCCCGAGCCCTGCCCGGCCCCCGGTGGGCAACTACCGGGCAACTACCGGGCAACACCCGGGCAACACCCGGGCAACACCCGGGCAACTCCGGGCAACACCCGGGCAACATCCGGGCAACACCCGGGCAACTCTGAGCAACTATCGGGCAACTTTGGGCAACTGTCCGGCTTGTTGAGGCATCACCCGGGCAAAGCCCCCAGCGGGCAAAAGTGCGCCCCAAGTGACTCCAGCGCAGCGCGGCGCCCGAACTGCGGCTGCTTGGCCAGAGCGCCCAGCCCGGCCCGCCACCACGGAGACACACTACCAGATAGTGGGTCTCCATGCCGCCACCCTGAGCATGGGCCGGGTGGCGGCCCAGACCGTCAGAGGAGCAGGCCGTCGCACAACCCGCTCCGATCGGCACCACGCTTGGCTTCGGCTGCGTAGCCGAGCTCCAACGCGCTCCCTCGCTGCGAGCGGCGGTCGGTTCGATCCCAGGAAAGGCAGCGCGCCGCTCGGCAGCCATCCTTGTCTAACCCACTAGCCGCCCTGAGTGCGAGAGAGATGCAAGATGTGCTCGTTTGTCGAGCGTCGAGCGCCGCCATAGGCAACCAATCTCCGTGCAGCCAGCTGGTTGCCTACTCCTGTCCAGCAAGGCGCGCGGCAAGCCACCCTACGCGCGGCGGGGGAGAGGAAGGGGTGAGGTGAGCGTCTCCCACTTCTGCCCCCTACCCCTCCCCTCTCCCCCTCCCCGCGCTGTGCTTTGGGTTGAAATGGACCATGTTTAAAACGAAAAGGTTTGTGATGCTGCGGCCGTGTGATTTTGACTTTGAACTTCTCACGTATCTTTATCAAAATTTCGTGGCTCGCTTTATCCTTGCCCAGCGGTTCTAAACCCTTTGGGGTCGCAAAAAAATTTCGAGGGGTCGCGGCGAGGTAACGGGGGTCGCTTGGGGTGGCGGCGGTTTCCCAGCTGGCCCACACGCCGAGCACTGGCGGGAACAACTTTTAAGTTGATCAAAACGGTCACAAATGTTTTTTAAAAATCGTGTTTTGGGCCGATTTAGGCATCCACTGCGTCTGATCCGAGGCGGTACTTCGTCCTCCCTCAACGGGCAATTGGTCTTTGGACCTTCCTTTAGCATCCCTTTTGTTACGGAGTTCGATTATCTCCCTTAGTTTGGGAGCAGTATTGCCGCATAGTTGATCAAAACGGTCACAAATGTCTAAAAATCGTGTATTGATCAACTTTGCGGCAATACTGCTCCCAAACTAAGGCAGATAATCGCACTCCGCAACAAACGCATGCTAAAGGAAGGTCCAAAGCCCAATTGCCTGCTAATGGAGCACGAAATACCGCCTCGGATTAGACGCAGTGGCTGTTTAAAAGTCGGCCCAAAACACGATTTTTCAAAGACATTTGTGACCGTTTGATCTTTTTTGCTGCAATACTGCTTCGAAACTAAGGTGGATTATCGCTTTTGTATCAAAGGCATGCTAAAGGAGGGGTCACGTGGGGTCACAAAATTTTTCCTGGGGTCGGGGAAAATTTTTTCGCTACAAATTTGGGGTCGCGAACCGAAAAGGGTTGAGAAACGCGTCCTTGCCCTTTTTTCTTGCCGCCACCGGCCGGGGACCGGTGTGATCGACGTCGACGAGCGAGCACATCTTGCATCTCCTCGCACCGATGCGGCTAGTGGGTTAGACAAGGATGGCTGCCGAGCGGCGCGCTGCCTTGCCTGGCATCGAACCGACCGCCGCTCGCAGCGAGGCCGGCGTTTTGAGCTCGGCTACGCAGCCGAAGCCAAGCGTGGTGCCGATCGGAGCGGGTTGTGCGACGGCCCGCTCCTCTGACGGTCCGGGCCGCCCCCCGGCCATGCTCGGGTGGCGGCATGGAGACACCTATCTGGTAGTGTGTCTCCGTGGTGGCGGGCGGCTGGGCGCTCTGGCCAAGCAGCCGCAGTTCGGGCGCCGCGCTGCGCTGGAGTCACTTGGTGCGCACTTTTGCCCGCTGGGGGCTTTGCCCGGGTGATGCCTCAACAAGCCGGACAGTTGCCCAAAGTTGCCCGATAGTTGCTCAGAGTTGCCCCGGGGGTTGCCCGGATGTTTCCCGGATGTTGCCCGGAGTTGCCGGGTGTTGCCCGGGGGTTGCCCCGGGAGTTGCCCCCCGGGTGCCGGGCAGGGCTGGGCTGTGCTCGACCCCTGCTCACCTTTGCTCAAAGTTGCCTGGAGAAATTTTATCTGGGGGAGGGTTCCGGTAGAACGCAATTTTGGCACGAACCCTCAGCGCTCGGCTGGGATGGGGCTTTTGTCTCATCTCAGAGAGCATTTTTTTTCCTTGACTTGTGCGGTAACCAGACCTGCCCTGTTTCTTCCCCGGATATTTTTTTTGTACAATTCTTTTCCCCCTACGCAATGTTTTAGCGCATTCATTTAAACCCTCGCTCCGTCAACACTCCACGCGCAGTACCGAAAAATACCGAAAAATTTTCGGTACTGGTACCCCAACCGATACACTGCAAGAAAAAAAAACCCCAACATAAGTACACAAATTACTCGCAAATTTTTTTTTCTATTTTTTTGTACTTTCAAAGTACAACAATTGTTTTACAAAGTACAATAGAACCGGCATGACGTGTGCTGGGCAGTCCCGGCCTCGTTGTGGTTTGTACAGTTCTCGTTGTACTGTACAATCTCTGATGTGCTTTTTTTGTTCAGTTTCTGTCGTACTTTTCACACTCCAGGCCTCGTTGTGGTTTGTACAGTTCTCGTTGTACTGTACAATCTCTGATGTACTTTTATTGTTCAGTTTCTGTCGTACTTTTCACACTCCAGGCCTCGTTGTGGTTTGTACAGTTCTCGTTGTACTGTACAATCTCTGATGTACTTTTATTGTTCAGTTTTTGTCGTACTTTTCACACTCCAGGCCCCGTTGTGGTTTGTACAGTTTCGTTGTACTTTTTGCAAACCCTGATTTCTTTTATTTTACTGTTTTAGTTGTAATTTTGTTGTACATTTTTCTCGCAGTGTAAGAGTCCCATTTTTGTGAAATTTTTCGATTTTGGATATGTTGCTCCACCCCTGTGTAGAGAACTCCGTGAAGAAGGGTTCACAAAAAGGTTCATGATCTGAAATGCCCATATTTGTCTTGCAACTGCAACTCATTACAAGCGAGGTCCTGCAGAAGCTCGAAACGAGTCCGTGGCACCGATTGCCACAACTCCAATCGTGAAGTGGTGCTTGTTGATGTGTTATTTAGAGCAATGGAGTGCCACATCTGCAGGAGGATTTTGACTCGACCCTGAGGCGGCCGAAGTGCTCATCCCGTGTGGCCACACCGTGTGCCAGCAGTGTTTGGGGGATTTGAAGAACCAAGTGTGCCCCGTTCGGAAGGTAGGCGCCAGTGCGATGTATTCCCTGATGCACCGGGCCCGGTTTCCGGCGGAATGGCCGCACCCCGTTTTTCTAACCGAATTGCCCCTCCTTCAAGGAATTTTTTGGGGCCTGTAACATCGCTGCCCGACAACTACACTGTCCTAAATTTGGTCGAGACCAAGCAACGCCCCAAGTCACCCAGCTCAACTTCGATTCCAACCACTTGTTGCAACAAGTGAGTAAAGTACTAATAAATGGAACGATCAGTTTTTAGGCACGAAGTAGCCTTATAGTATCCCCCAGGATTCAGCCTCGCTGGGGATCGCGTGGCCCCTTATGCAAGTCAAAACCTCTCTATAGGATTTTGATGAGATTTTGCAGACTGGTAGAAGGGTGTTTCCGTGCGTGGGGGGTCATTTTGGATGTCCCAAATGTTTTTTTTTAAAGTTCAACTTTAGGGGCAAAATTTTGGTGTAGATGGATACATAGTACCCCACAGTACCCCTTGAGCGTGGCAGTGCTACAAGTTGACTTTTATTTTCACTCCCTATGAAATACGGCGGAATTTACAAAAATTTGAGGGAAATTTTACAGATTCCGGAATTTACAAAGCGAATTTTTTAGTCCCCTGATCCGCTGGGTTACAAGATAGGTAAAAACTGTTGACGGTGTCATTTTCAGCATCCAAAATAGCATTTTTCAGCGAAGGTTGTGGGAACTTTCTCCCTCAGATGGAGGAGCTACGGCCCGAAACGGAATTTACATCCATTTTTACACCCTTACCGTTTTGAACTCTTCTGACGGCCTGGAAGCGTCGTTTGACCGCCCCAGGTCCCGGGGGCACGGGCTTCTGGAAGTTTTTTTTATGTTCTTTCGATCCCAAGTGGTCGCGAGTTTCTAAAATGAAAAGGAACCCCAGTAGACCGTCATTTGTAAAAACAGCATAGGTCACATGGTCACACGGTGGACATTTTCCCAAAGGCTGTTTCGGGTTCAATAAGTTATGATACAAAGGTCACCCTCCGTAATTTTGTGTCAGGGGAGAGAGTGAAATAGCCAGTTTTCTTTTGATGTGGCTGAGTCAAATACTACAGCGTGGCAATGTTGTCTTATAGGTGTTGGTGACCATGACGGAACTTACAAAACGACACTTTAGCAGCTTACGAAACCCAGATAAACAAAAGTTAGATCGACTTATCCACATGAGGACATGGTCTTCGTTTAGTAAAACAAATTAGAATTGCCCAAGCTACCAAATCAACCTCAGTTCAGGCGCAAGGCCCCGGTGACCTGAAATGACCCCCTACGCACGGAATCACCCAGAATTCTGAGACGTGATTTCAATTCTGGAATATGGTTGAAATCTTAACGATAAATTTTGAAAAAATTGCCGTCAAAATCACTGTTTTCATAGCAAAGCTCGACTCGTCAACGAAAAGGGAAGAGAGAGGGGGGAGCCGAGCCAAACCCAACCAATAGCATGGCTCCTTTTCGCTTGTGTACAGGTTACCCCAATAACGGCCGCTTCTTTGAAAAAGGACGTTCGAATAAAAAACTTTCTGCGACCGTGATAGAACAGATGTAACAATAGCACAAGAGGGTTTTTTGGACGCAGTCTTTTCATTGGCACTGCCTGATAAAAATTTTTAATGGGAATGTCTTTTGCTCATGCGCAGAATATTACACAGTCTTACCAATATGGAAACCTACACTCATTGTGAGTTTTGTGTTTGTTTCATTTTCAATGTGTGTTTTCTACCACAAAGTTAATCTGTATAAATTATGACATTATATCTAAATATATTTTGAGGACACATGTTAAAGAAAAGATTTAAAAATATTGAAGAAATAGAACAATTTTTTTATTTATCAACTTTTTACTGAATCAATAAAACAAAACTATATTTCTTACATTTGTCTTAGCTGGTCTTAGCTCTAGTGTTTGTTTGATGGTAGTTCTCATTCAGTTAGCACCATGACCACATCGCTCCACCTCGCGACTTTCAGTGCTCATGTTCCTCGAACAAGACTCACCTGCAATTCGAAACCATCCCTCCTGAGTTTATAAAGTTTGTCAAACCAACCGTCGTGGTGTTGTTACGTTGTGAGTGAGAACTATTTCACAGAATTGAAGAAAACATGACTAGAGAACCGTAGCCTTTTGAAACAAGCCAAACAATTCAACGTCAGCAACAATGGAGGGGCAGTTTTAATGCGCGACTACTCGTGTTTTCGGCTTCGCTATTTTCGCAAGGGCGCAGGCGCCGAGAAGATTGTTGCCAACCCCCGAAAATTTATTTACTGCCTCCTTTCCACCACGAACATTTTAATAATGATTGACTTCAAAGATGTTCCACTGCGGAATACATTGGCATTGGAATTTTTCGAATTTTACGGCATTTTGATTTCTTTTTGTTGCCAAGTTTAAATTTTGACGGGGGGCACATCGACACACATCGACCACATTGGTACCGCTGCCATTCGTACCCAAACCACCCCCTATCCCTTTTACACAACTTTTTTTCCTTTCTCCACACTCCTACACAATAACCATATTGACTTCGTGACTCCTAGGATTTCTTGAAATCGTTTTTTTTTTTTTTTTTTTTTTTTTCATTTTAAAATCACTTTTCTTGATCAAGTTCTAGTCTCGGTTCTAGCTTTTAGTCCCCGTTTAAAAATGAAAACACCCGAAATCGTTCCGAACGTCGGAATGACTTCGGGTGTCCCCGATCGGGCGACCCCGAATCGCTTCCGACGGGGTCTTCCGAATTTTACCCAAAAATGACCAAGATCCGCAAGTTTCTGGATGTACCCCGACGTCAGTCTCGTTTCGGAAGGATTCCGCCGGAGTTCCGGCGTCGGGGCCCTTCTGGAATCGTTCCGAAAAGAATGGTTCGTGGTGGGGTGGAAGCCAGGACTACTGTAGGAGGGGGGGCTAAGGAGGCAGCTAACCAATGCTCAGTACAAACTTTGATTGAGATTATATTGGTTTAATTGGAGAGAAGAGACTTCCGAAAAGTGCACTGTGCGAAAAAACCACAGTGAATCCCGTTAATTTTTTTGCCGGGATTTACTGTAGTTCAGAACACAGGGTTTACCGTGCCTGGCTACAGTATCTACTGTACCTGGTACAGGATATTCCGTACTCCACTCCTGTGGTACAGTAAATCCCGTACAAAGTACAGTAGATCCTGTTAAAAAAGTACAGTAAATCCTGTACTCTGAACTACAGTGACAGCTGTACTAATCACTACAGGATTTACTGTGATTTTTTCCCACAGTGTGCTTTCGGGGTGTCGAAATCGAGTCCGATCCAAATCTGCAATCCATTTTTAGATAGCACTTGTAGTTTTCAAGATAGCAGAAAAAAAAGTGTCCAATTTGAAAATAAAAAAAATGGCACTTGTTAATTTTGGCGTTGATACCCCATACCAAATTTGAGCTCAAAATTCCAAAAATGAAATTTAAAACTGCGATTTACTTAATTTGAAAGAATGGATTTTCCGAAGAGTACTATGCACGGACCATCGGGGTAGCCCGAAATCCTTCCGAACTGACGGGATTCGGGGTCTCGGAAGAACTTCGGGGTGCCCGGGAACATTCGGAAGGATGTCGGACTGCCCCGACAACACAGCCCCCGAAACAGGGGTGATTTCGGGAGTACCCCGACGTCCGCATGCCTCAGTTCGGAAGCATTCTGGATGAACCCCGAGCGTTCGGAAGCGATTCGGAACGGTTTCGGCCAGATTCTGGATGTTTTCGTTTTTAAACGGGTCACTTTATAAAATGGGAATTTTGAAAAAAAAATCCGTGATCCTGAACCGTTTTTCGATGTTTATTTACCACAATGAGCCACAATCAGGACTATAATTTTGGGAAAGGTATTCTCAACTCAATTGCGGGTAAGAATCATTTTATCCTCCGAATAACGTAGGTTTCCTCACTCAAAATCTGGGTGACCGCACAGCCTGCTTTGTCACTTTGAAACCACTCTCCATGGACAAATATCACAGGCACCGTTATTGTGGAAATGCCTTTCACTTAACCCAGTTTTTGGCTCTTTGCGTTTTTTGACGCTATCAAGTCTAGAGGTCCCATGGTGACGTCACAGCCGACGGTGTCGCGCTGTGGCGCCTTCGAATGCGAATCATGTCCTCAACTATAGCGGACGAGAACGTACCCCACCACGGCGTACGCGGTGCGGAGTAAGGGAGTATGGGTCGATTTGTAACAGATTTCGGAATTCTCTATACAAAATTAAGAACATTCTGCATATCGATGTCAAACTTGTGCCAGTTGAGCAGTCTGGCCCTTCATCTAGACTGTGCAGCTCCATTGGATCAATCTGGAGTCCGTAATCTTTGAAATCTTAGACGTTTTGCAAACCCTTGCATGCTGTTACGAATCGCCCCAGCATGGGGTGATTTGTAACAGCCATGGGGCTTTTCATAACATCCTACACATTAAATGAAACATCGTCGAGAATGTTATCTCCTCCACCAGTTGTTCTTCGGGTGTCCTGCAGACGTCTAAAAATCTACATTACAAGCTGCCGTTGACCGCCTCAGCATTAACTGATAGGCTATGTCAATCCTAACCTCACTTTTTTCAATTTTAGGGGAAAGCATAGAATAACTCGCTTTAAAATGCATTTCGAGCTGTGTAAATGTATTGGAATAAAACAGCAGATGATTCGAGAAATAATTCAAGCATTTAACAGCAAAAACTACTTTAATTCTTGCTTTTATACGGGTCTGTTACGAATCACCCCAAATGCCTGTTACGCAAGAAATCCGTCCCTAACTATCACAAACTATCACAACTATCACAAAGTAAAAGCAACTTATGCCACGTGTTTACATTGTAAAGGGGTCACGCTTCAAGGCCCCAACGGTACTTCGATGGTGATTCATACCTGGGGAGCCTCAGACAGAAACTTCCTAGAACTCAAAATAAAAGATTTGCCTGTTTGCCGAAATTTCGGTGTACCGTATATTTCAGACCCCCTCCAAAACTATACCTGAGCCCCGATCACATCCGCTTCGATTGTTCGAGGACCTTGTACTTGAAGCGAAAGAGGGGCCATACTAAGATTTTCCTCTGCTCCCTCCACTTAAATTAATAAACGCATTTGTTACAAATCGCCCCTGTTACAAATCGCCCCATACTCCCTTACGCACTGAGCACGGTCAACGGGACGGGCCGAGCAGGACGACTGTGCGTGTTCCATGCCGTCGCGAGCCTCACCCGCCGCTCTGCGCGATAAAGGCTTTTATCTGATAGGGTTTCGTGCCTGTAAGATAAATTGGCGAAGTGCGATTCGGATAACTGGCCTCTGTGTGCCGCAGTTCGTGTCGCGTCTGAAAGCCTTGTGCATCTTGTGTCTGTCCATTGCTGGCGGAATAACATCATTCGCGCCTGAAGAAAGGAAACTAGAAGTGGTCAGTTGGAGTAGTTTTGGGACCAAGGGTAAAAATGGGACAACTGGGCAAGAATTTGCATAGAACTTATGTCATAAGGGAAGGTGGGGTACCATGTGACACGGCCACCCTGTGACTTTGGCTTTTTCTCCCAAACGGCTTGCTATCCAACAGCGGTAAGAAGACTCAAAGGAAGGTATCATGAAGGAGAATCGACGTGCAATAGGTCGTGACTCTCCTTCGAAAAGGACGGGAATGGTAGCGATCAGTATTGAAAATAGTCTTAAAATAGCTCCTTGGGAACTTTTTCTATTTCCCGCCGCGTCCGCGTTTTACCTTTAAAATACATTTTAAGGACACATGCTATGCAGGATGTTCTTCTTTGATGTTTTAAGCGCAAAATAATCTTTGGCTCGATTCTCTACGGCATAAACTTTGAGCGTTATTGCTGTTTCCCCTAAAACTGTTGATCTGGGCACCATGTGACACTTCTGTCATTCGCTATGGGATTCCACGATTCACTCAGTTGAATGTGTTCAGCCCATGACATTTGTACACTAATAACTAAAACCTTCATTGCTGGGGAAACCCAAAAGATATAAATTGATAAACTCAACGGAAATAAAAGCTGAAAGACTTCTTCATTCATTCTTTGCGTATAGATACGCTGAAAGGATTTAAACCCTGACAAAAGGCCCCTGTCACATGGTGCACTAAGGCTGTCACATGTGTACTACGTGGGGCACGAAGTGACACTTTTTACTTGGCCCATTCAACTCGGGATAACTCAGCAACCAAAACAGATAAATTAGAAATCTCAACAGAAATTTTAAGGTGAAGAATCATTTTGTTCACATGACTACTTATGGATGTAATGTGATTGGTAGTATTGGGTTGACGGGCACTTAACAAAAACCGTCACATGGTACCCCACCTTCCCTTACTAATTTTTAATTTCGCATCACAGTAAATACTGTAGCCAGGCACAGTAAATCCTGTGTTCTGAACTACAGTACATCCCGGCAAGAAATTGACGAGATTCACTGAGGTTTTTTTTTGCACAGTGTGTTTTGATTGATATTTTCCGTAACGATTTGCAGTGCCAAAAATCCGACTGGATTAATTTAGGTCAGTTGTGTTTTTGTGTTATTTATAGCAATGGAGTGCCACATCTGCATGGAGGATTTTGACTCGACCCTGAGACGGCCGAAGTGCATCGTCCCGTGTGGCCACACTGTGTGCCAGCAGTGTTTGGGGAATTTGAAGAACCAAGTGTGCCCAGTTTGTCGGAAGGTAGGTGCCAGTGCGATGTATTCCCTGATGCACACTGAGAAAACCTTACTAACTATTTCAGGCCTTACAAAGGAAAGCAGTTCGTTATAACAAAGTATTTTGAGCAGACATGAGCTTGCAAAGAAAATACTCCGTAATTTACGAACTATTTCTTCGTATAACAAAGTTAAATTAGTTTGTACTTATGTATGCTCAAAATACTTCGAAAGGTTTTGAGGGTGCACCGGCCGTGCTTCCGTGCGAAATGGCCGCATCCCGTTTTCCTAACCAAATTGCTCCCTCCTTCAAGGAATTTTCGGGGCCTCTAACATCGCTGCTTGACAACTACGCTGTCCTCAATTTGGTCGAGAACAAGCAACGCCCCAAGTCACCTAGCTCAACTTCGATTCCAACTAACAAGTGAGTAAACTGAGTAAAATGAAACGATCTGTATCTTTTCATTTGGAAATCACTATCCTTAAGTATGTTCTTGTCTCGGTTCTAAATGTTAGTAAGTTCGTAAAATGTTTACTCACGTGTTTACTTACCGGGAAAGAGTCATAAACAGGACTACAATTTTGGAAGAGGTATTCTTAACCCAAATTTAGGTGAAAATCATTTTATCACGCGAATAACGTAGGTTTCCTCACCCAAAATCTGGGTGACTACACTGCCTAGCGGTAGAAATAGCTATACCGTTTTTCGCCACAAATTTTGGTGAGGATCACCGAAATTTGAAAGACAAAAAGCTTCACACAATTTTTAGTGATATAGTATACCTTGGCTTTGTTGAAGACTGTTTCATTTTCATGTGGGCGCAGCAAGAGGACGCCACAAAGTAATCCCTTGACCTGCATCCCCTGAGCCCTGAGCCGTGCCGATTGTAAATCAGTTCACAGTAAAAAAAAAT